ACCTTAGGTCAGTTGTTGTTCATTAATTAATACCCCAAAACCACAACATCTAGTCTTGTGTGAGACACTGAGCTGGAGGGAGGCTGGCTGGCTGGTGTATGTTTTATCATTGATAATATAAAATATTAAGCACTATAGAAAAAATACGATATATAATTTGATCATCAAAATTACATGACAAACTGAATAATAAGGTAATTTTTCACCCAGACCTCTCCACCGAGAGGAGGCTGGGCAGGGTTACACACGTCCTGTACACGATCTCTCTCTCTCTCTCTCTCTCTAATGTAAATCCACAATGGGAACATGGACAAGATAAATCTTGATAAAACCACACATGAAAAGGGAAACACTGGAGCACCTTAGCTTTTGTCTTTATTCAAGACATCTTCAGAGGCAACTGAATTTATGAAAGTTGTGGAAAATCATACAATTATCACAACCTGTACTCAAATGTTTAAGTTAATTACAAAAAAGCCATAATCTTGAACAACATATTACTGTACAGTATTCACTTAGTACTCAAATGTACTAAAGCTAAAAGACTAAAATTTATATATCTAGGGCAAATTGTGGGATGTTTATACTCAAATTAATTGCTAATTTTACAAGAAATCCAGCAATGCAAGTTATATTCTGCTAAGTCAAGTCAGTGATATTTTGTAAGCGAAAAACTTAAAACTCTCTATTGTATAATCTGAGTCCCTGACCCCTCCGCCCTCCAATGATAACTATGCACTCGGTAATCTCCCCACCTGGCTGTCAACACCTCACCACCACCTCCCAGTCACAAGGCAATAAGGATTTTAGAGGGTGAAGGTATTAGGCTCAAAGTTATTCTTATAAAATGTCAGACTTGACTTAGCAGAATATAACCTGCATTGCTGGAATCCTTGCAAGATAGCAATTAATTTGAGTATAAACATCCCATACTTTGCACAAGAGTTAATTTTTTTTAGTCCTTTAGCTTAGTACATTTGAGTACAAAGTAAATACAGTAACATATTCCTAAAAATTATGGCTTTTTCATGGAAGTCTATATAACTAACCCCAGTGGTCAGGATATTATGGCATTGAATGTTACAGAGTATTTCATATCTTTGTTAGTTCTGTACATAGAGACTAGTGGTGGAGGGATGGCCTTAAGGCAGTGGTGTCAAACTCAAAACCTTTCGAAGGCCAATTCTTATTTTAGTTACCCTCTTCAAGGCCAACACAAATGCTATATCACATATTTGCAGGACTGAAGTTCACAGCTTCACACATTGCTTTACCTGGCTTACCAGGAATACCTCATTTGAGTTTGTCTGATCTTAAGTATGTAAAATTCATTTTACTTAATAAATATAGGATAGCAAAATGCATATACAATACAAGTACAGTATATGCATTATTTTTGGGCTACAATTTATTATACAATTCCATTGGTGATTTGAAACTAAGAGCTCAATCTTGTTATGACAGTTATGTCATGTACATACAGAACAAGAACCATCATGCAACACACAACTTTGTCCTCATTTGCCACTGTACGGCAAGCATTTTTCTTCCACAAGTTTTTCTATATTTGGCTGCAAATGTGATATTCCGAGTCGGAGGATGGCATTCAAGTGCTTCATTAATATGGGTTCGATACTTAAGATTTATTTATCTTCATCCGAGAGAATAACTGTTCACACCCATAAGTACTTCCAAACTGAACAGCCCAAAAGCACACATTGTAATGAATGTGTGGTAATGGCTGCGGCTTCGTTTTTTAATTCTTTAGTGATTTCGATTTATAAGCATTTTCCCTTTACAATAGTGTTATTACTAGCATTAACAATATAAATTCAATTGTTGCCACAATGATGTAAAGATCATTTCGGAATTTACTGACTTATTCCTATCTGCATTTTCCCCTTCTTATTTATTTCTATCATAATTTCACGGGTTGATAAATTTTACCATCATCCCGCAGGCCACACCTGACCATTCCATGGGCCACATTTGGCCCGCGGGCCATGAGTTTGACACCCCTGCCTTAGGGGGAGGAACTGACTGCTCATCCCCCACTCCTGCCTCTGTCATTCTTACTGTAACTTGACAAAATATTGTTTATTTGTTGTTTATTAATTAGTAAAGATATGTTACTGTAATAATTTGAGCTTATTAATACCATTACTCTTCATAGACAGTAACATACTTATTTTTTACCTTATTATTTGGCTTGTCACTTATTTTTTATGTAAATTACTGATTATATACTTAATTTTTTCTATACAGTAGTAGTATTTAATATTTTATGTTAACAATGATAAAACATACACTATAAGAGGCTGATCATATGAGAATATATAATAATAAATGTTGGAGGGTGTGTGTTGGTGGTGTGTATATGTGATATTGAGGTGTGTTACACACAGGAATTTAGATAACACACATCCAGTGAGGGTCTTATTGTGTGACTGCCTGGAGGCGACATAAACATCAGCTGTTGAGGAGTGCTTGGCAACACGGTGCATGTTACCACTCCTTTCCGTTCCATCTCTCTAATCACCCATACCTTTCTGCTTTCTCACTCCATATTTTAAAATGTTATGTAACGTAATGTTGAAGGGATACAACTTTGCTTATTTATACTTATACTTATCACAATCTCCCTAAAAATACTTTAGCTTTCATCTTTATTCAAGACATCTTCAGGTCATGAGACCCACTAATCCCCCACCTAAGAAAGGGTGACCTGACATTCCACCCCTGTAAATTTAGTTGCCTCTGAAGACGTCTTGAATAAAGACTAAAGCTGAGGTGCTCCAGTGTATACTTAGTTGACCGAGGGCTCGTTATATCGAGAAAATAATAGCTAACAACTAGAATGATTAACTAAAAATAAGATTTTTTTTTTACTAGATTTAAGGTACTGTATTTGGCAACCATTAAACTAACGTCCAAATAAGGGAGCAGCCAGTTAGAAATGGGAGGTGAGGTGGCGAGCGACTTTTTTATAATTAAATAATGTGGCAATGCCGCAAAACCTCAATGCCCTAAAGTTTATAGGCTAGAACTGCCTCAGTTGAAGCTAAAAGAAAAGAGTTAATAATTCTTTCTCATATTTCTTCTAGGGGTGGGAATTAAAATTTCATGAAGTTAGAGATTTGTAGGTAGCTATGGGATGAATGTGAAATTAGAAGTTATATATTGTAAGAAAAGTGGTGAGCATGTCTCAATGAACCACTTTCACTAATGTGAGCGTGTGAATGCGTGGTTAGGTAGCTTGTGCTGCATCAATACATCGACCCAAAATTACTTTAAGGACCTTAAATAAGTTATAAATTTAAATAATTTCATAAAGTAATGTGGAATCAAATGTTTAAAAAATGTTTCTAAATTATATATATACTGTACCCTGTTAAAATATACCAAATTAAACTTTAAGAGTGTCACTTACAGTGTGATAGTCCTGATTAAACTACAGTAATACCCCACTTTACGAGGTTTTTTTTTTTACGCGTTTCTACATTTACGCAGTACCCTGCCAGAACCGGAATTCCCACTTTACGCGGTGCATCTACTCATATACGTGGGTGAAGTATAATTTTTTTTATTTAGCTCATAAAATTCATACAAATTACCTGACCAGAATATAATTTACATTGCAGGAATTCTTACAATATGATGATCATTTTGAATATAAACATCATAGATTTTGCATTAGACATACAAATTTTAGATCTAATGTAAGAATTTTGTTTACTCAGAGCAAATATGTTATGTTTTGTGCAAAATATATGACGTGTATATTCAAAATATTCCTGGTCTTGCAAGGAATCCAGCAATGTCAATTATATTATCTTAACTTTAGTCTGAGGTATTATTTATTACTAAAAAAGTAAATATACTGTTTTAACCCAAACATTTTTCTGGTAGGGACGGAAGGTGGGGGTGGGGGGTAGGGAGGGAGGGAGGGACCCAGCGTGTGGGAAGAAAGGGGGGAGCCGGAGGTGGGGTATTTTGATTGACAGATGGTGTTTGGGTGAAGTATATTTTTTTTATTTACTGAAGATATTTGTTTTAGCTCATAAAATTCATACAAATTACCCGGCCAGAATATAATTTACATTGCTGGAATTCTTACAATTTGATGATCTTTTTGAATATAAACATCATAGACATACAAATTTTAGATCTAATGTAAGAATTTTGTTTACTCAGAGCAAATATGTTATCTTTTGTGCAAAATATATGACGTGTATATTCAAAATATTCCTGGTCTTGCAAGGAATCCAGCAATGTCAATTACATTATCCTAACTTTAGTTTGAGGTATTATTTATTCCTATACCTTAAAATCTAGTGTTTTCACCCAAACATTTTTCTGGTAGGGACGGAAGGTGGGGGTGGGGGGTAGGGAGGGAGGGAGGGACCCAGCGTGTGGGAAGAAAGGGGGGAGCCGGAGGTGGGGTATTTTGATTGACAGATGGTGTTTGGGTGAAGTATATTTTTTTTATTTACTGAAGATATTTGTTTTAGCTCATAAAATTCATACAAATTACCCGGCCAGAATATAATTTACATTGCTGGAATTCTTACAATTTGATGATCTTTTTGAATATAAACATCATAGACATACAAATTTTAGATCTAATGTAAGAATTTTGTTTACTCAGAGCAAATATGTTATCTTTTGTGCAAAATATATGACGTGTATATTCAAAATATTCCTGGTCTTGCAAGGAATCCAGCAATGTCAATTACATTATCCTAACTTTAGTTTGAGGTATTATTTATTCCTATACCTTAAAATCTAGTGTTTTCACCCAAACATTTCTCAGAGAGGGAGGAGCCAGCGAGCATGGGAAGAAGGGGGGGGGGAGTTGAGTCCATTATTTGAATGGACATTAACCTGGCGACTGTATTTCTCTTAAATATTAATTGTGTGTGAGTACCATCATAAAATTAAGATGTTATTTTAACTAGAACATAGGTATTGTTTCGGAAAAAGTGGAGTTTGGGAGTCGGCCCAGTCTCTATTTCAATTAATCCCATATGTTGTTATTCCATTTACGCGTTTCCCGTTTTACATGGACCTCTGTGGGTTCAATTGACCGCGGGGTATTACTGTATACTGTATAGTGTATTTTCTTGGAACTTGTTAAAAACACTGGTTCCCCCGAAGCTCAGATGATATGATAATTTTAACCAGGGGATTCAGGGTGTTCAGTAATATGTTTGACTTTGGGTAACTGCTCCATGTGGTGTTGAGTTATAACTAAAGTGGGTGAAAATGCTGCAATGTATGACAAGCCTCCACCTCATTCCACATGAGCAATGACAAATAAAACTGGAAGGCATGATCCTCAAGGTAAATATTACTGAAATTTAATTATACTGTATAACAAAATAAAGAATTTTTTACTATACAATATTTACATTAAAAATTAACATCATCATTGTCTTTTATACCAACAAATAAAGTTGCACCATATAAAGGTGCAAACACCTAGAAATATCACCCTCATTGAGTTGGGCATCAACCAGAAGTTGAGAGCCATTGCTGGCAACCAAAACACACAGCCACCCTGTAACAAGAAGTTTATCAAAAGAATGAACTGTTACACCTACTGTTATATACACCCATCAAAAAAGTATTGCGACCTTATGGTTCAATGGAAATTGAAACGAGCAATGTTCTGTGATTAAGACAACAGTGGTCCCTCGATTAACGAACACAATTTGTTAACCAAAAAATTTGTGAACTGAATCTATTATTTCAATGGGATATTGGGCAATTGGTTCCAACTCACAGAAAAAGTTCATACAAGTAAAGCCAAAAAATGCATAAAGTCAGAAACACAACCAAAAATCCCCTAAATCGCCCTCAAATCACTACAGTGGGGTATGCTATAACGAACGGAACCTACTACGAATATTCCTATAACGAACGGTTTTACCTATAAAATTGAGAATGCTATAACGAACGAAACTCCTACAACGAACATTATTTAAAAAAAAAAAAAAAAAATTTTTTTTTTTTTTACTAATTTATATATTTTTTATTACAAGTATTAATGATATTCTTTATTTCAGGGGTTTAGATGCATATTTATGCACTTTTATACAATTTTTACAATTTTATATTATATTTTTCAGTGTTAAGTGGTTGTATTTGGGGGCCTGGAACGTATAATCCTATAACGAACGAATGCTATAATGAACAAGGTTCTAGAACCAATTAGATTCGTTATAGCATACCCCACTGTATATATATATACGTACATACTGTATATACTAGAACTCTTAAATCACTACTGTAATGTGATACAGGCGATTAATTTTTATCTCTTGTGCAAAATATATGACGCTTATATTCAAATTATTCAGTCTTGCAAGGATTCCAGCAATGCAAATTATATTCTCCTAACTTTAGTCTGTGATATTATATAATATAAAAACTGTAAGCTTATAACCACCCAACCCTGGCTGAGAGGGAGGAGGGAGGGAGGGAGGGAGGGAGGGAGGGGAGGGAACTGACAGTGACATGTTTGACAGTTGGCGCAGAAGGTCTAGTGAAGTATTTATTTGTTTATTTATGTCCTTTAGATTGAGTTTTTGTTTTTTGTTTATAATATGTCACAGAAGTGACCGTGGAGAATAAATTTACATTGCTGGAATTATTATAAGATAGTGATTAATTTGAATATAAACATGCTATAGTTTGCACTAGACAAAAATCTTTGGAATCATTTAGTACATTATTTTGAGTACATGTACAGTACAGCTTTGCCCTTAGGACAGTGTGTCCATGTAAATGAGTAAAAAAAAAATGAATAAAGTTACATATATCGAGCCAAAAATATTAGTTGAAAAACTTTATGTAAACAGAGCTTGTATGGCTAAATTTTAGAATGACCAATAATTTTAATAAAAAAAAATGCAAAAATATTCAAGAACACAACTTTCTTGATATTTACTCCACTGGAAACTAATGTAAACATAGGCTTTCGTTAATCAAAGTTTTGTTCGCTAATGGAACTGAAAATCCTTATGGGAGCTAATTCGTTAACCGAAATTTCGTTAATTGAACCATTCGTTAATCGAGGGACCACCGTATACTGAAATTAATAGAGTCTAATATCTGTATTAAAATCAACATTTAAGTACTCTGTAGTACAGTAATTTAATGATGAATGATTTGGGATCTATTTGCGGCATACTGTTGGAAAGGATTGTTTAAGACCAGTAGAGAAGAGTTGCCAGTTCCCAAAATACAGTAATACATATTTATGGGAGAAAATCAACATGTAGCAAAAGGGCTGACTGAAATAATCACGAGATTATGGGGGTATTTCTCCTTTAATCCTTGGATGTGTTAGTTTAATTCAGAGCCTTTTCCTTACAGATAACTATGAGCAACTTTAGTTAGAATATTTTGAACCATGAACTATGGTCTCAATTTATGAGATTTGAGATGGATTTGACTCTTTTATTAAACAATCGAAACCAAAGTGGCATGGCATATGTGTTGTAATCAATTTACTCTCCAATAATCATCTACACAAAGTGGAAGGCAGATGTTGAGCCAAAACATCTAAGGAAATGCAAGGTGCCATCATCACTCTCCACAATTATGTAACAAATAATGGTGAGGTGACACAGCAGACTGGTGTACACAAATCCATGGTAACAAGGTGCATTTCCAACTATGAAGCAACTGTGCCACTATGGACCATTCCAGGATAGGTCACCCTTGCTACAGAACAGGGGAACAGAATGATACCATTGTACAGTAGTTGCTATTGAGGAAAATCCTTTCTCCACCGCTACCATCATGCAAAATCTACTTGTCCAGTACGTATATCTAAATTAAGGAAGTACTGTATCTGGTAAGGAGAGCAGGCATACCAACACATCATCATACCCAGGGTATATATCAAAACACTTAATTCTGTGTTCTAAAATATAAAGTGCAGCAAGGATCACGATACTTTTTTTAATGGGTGTACAGTATACAGTACGACAAAAACTGACAGAAGGAATATTCCTTTTTTTTTTTAAATCTTTGTACTTCTCTTATGTTAATTTTCTACAGTCAATTGTATCCAACAATATAGATCACAAAATACTAAGAAATATTTTCTCTATCAAAATAGAACATTAATTCAAACTTATGATTAAAAGCAAAACTTAATCCATACCATAAATGTTGGAATGTATTTCTGTTTCCACTCTGCAAATATGTCTTCCTTTCTCTCCAATATGCTCATGCCTGAGAACACAAGAGAAAAACATAGTATTAATTGAGATGCCAACACTCAAATAATTCTGTTATTCTCATATGCAGTATTGTACATAATTTATCACCAATATACAAATACGTACAATGATAGCTAACCAATAAAAAATGATGCTAGAAGTGGAGGTTCCATAACAAACTGGTCAATTAGAGACTTTTTTGTTATCATTGCTAGAGAGGTGCCCACAAATCTTGCGTCTAACCAACGGTACCTGAAAAACAAATCAATCTGAATAAATACAGTACTGTAATTCTCATATTGTGCACAACTTGCATAAACTTATACTGTATCATACTATACCATGGGGTGCAGCAGCAGAGTGGATACAGTGCTCATTTCCTATCCCAAGAGTAATTTTTTTTTTTATCTGAGAGCACTCCCAGTCCACCCAGCTGTAAATAGGCATCTAACTTTACTGTCAGGGGAGTGAAGGCTGTTGAGTGCAGTCCCGGCCACACTGCCTCTTTGTGTACTCAAGGATTAGTACAGTGTTCTGTAAACAACACTGTCCCTAAGAGGCAGTCATGCCTATGGAACCCATTTGCATTTTTATACACCATGCACAAAATACAAATAGCACAATGAATTAATAATACCAACAATACTGTATGTTCAAAAACAAAAACATGTCATGTGACCCTGTAAAAAAAAAGGGGGGGGGGGGGCCAACTGCAGTATCATTCCCAGTTAGCATGAGTCAGTGTAAACTAATAGATTCAGATAATTACCAATTAGGATGTTTAGTGGAAGGCAATTTGGTTGCTTACTGGTGAAGGAGTGTGCATGATGATCACTGGGTGAAGAGGTGTAAGATGGTGGTACAGTGGTAACGTGCATAACTCTCACCAATATGTCAAGGGTTCGAGCCTCGGCCTGGACACACGTGGCGGGAATTTCAAATGACAAATATTTAAGGGTTCGGACAAATGTTTCTTGCCTGGAAAGGGTCCGGACTATCTAAAATTCGGATTTACGGGGGCCGGAGTTTCGAGGGTTTACTGTACATGTTAAGTCCCACACATGTAAAAATGTTTATTCCCTGTACATTTTTGACCTTATGATAATTATAAATTTTAAAATTTATTTTTTGTACATACTGTTTGAAAAATTGTGTGCATGCAACAGACCAAAACAAAAACAACAACAAATTACTACTGTATATCTACCCTAAATTACAAGTTGAAAAATAACCACTCTGACTCTTCAGGGTCTCAGGACCAGAACCCATGTTTCCCCATAAGTTATTAATACGGATATACAATCAATCACTTAATAATGGCATTTAGAGGTTCATAACCCCACTGTTTAACAGTCAACACCTGTACTGAAATGAATTTTCCACAACTTTTATAATTTCATTACATGTAACAATGGTAACATGCAAAGCCATCTCACAGCTAACTGGCGATGTGTTATGGTCATGGGGAGTTCTATTATTATTTGCAATGGTTACTTTACATGCAATTAGATGCTCTGCTATTCATATGTCATTCTTGAGTACTGAGTGGTCACGCAGAAAGTAGACTGTCACAAACCACTTTGTAAAGATGAATTTGAGAGAGTGAGAGTGGGCTGACAACCGTTGAAACAGGAAAAAATGCCCGATGAGGCCACAAATCCAATGCTAACATTCCCAACCATCCAAATGCACACAACTTATGATTTTGCACAGATATATACAGTGTGTATAGGCCATTAGCAAAATAACTAATAAAAATTTCTTACCCTTCTCTTCACTCACTTAAGGCTTTGAGACAAAGATATACTTGTACATACACACATGCAGGGAGAATACGAAACATCTAGGACCACAACAATTTGTGGCAAAGCACAATGGGAAACTGAACGATCGTGCCAAAACAATGAAGTGAATCCACTTGGACATTACTGGACACTACCCTTCATTTAGCGAAAGGCTCCGCTAGATGGAGAAGCAAAACCCGCACAAATTTGTTCAGCTAAATCGAACTTATGCTAAAAGGAATTCTGTTCTAAGGAATGAATACTGTACAGCACTAGTTTATACAGTACATTAAACCATTTCAAATATGTAACTTATAATTTAACTGATTAATCAACTGTAAGAGCTTATAACTCACCAGTAGTGGTAAGCCACAGGGTACCACAACACTCCGAAGAAAGCATAACGAGAAAATGCTCCCATGTCATATTTAGGGTCCTTATCGTTTTTCTGTCAGTAAGAAAAGAAATTCACTTGATGATTGGGGTAGCGACAAAATTCTATAATACAGATCCACATTCAGAGACTTTATTCAGAAAAATCAATATAGATACAGATTTAAGTACAGTATCGTACAATACAATACTGTATAAAGTACTGTACAGTACAGTGGTCCCTCGGTTAACTAACGGTTCGATAAACGAATTAGCTCCCATAAGGATTTTCAGTTCGATTAACGAACAAAACTTCGATTAACGTAATCCTTACGACAAACACGTTTTGTTGTGCGCATCAGCTGATCGGCTAGTCCGCCAATACAGTAATTGGTTCTATGTTTACATTCGTTTCCAGTGAAGTAAGTATCAAGAAAGTAGGTCTCTTGAATATTTCTGAATTTTTTATATTAAAATTATTGGTCATTCTGAAATTTAGTTAACATATTGATAATATACAGTGCAGAAATTATTATGAAACACAAAGAAGGCATTAGAACCAATGCACTCTGTAAAGAATATGGCATCATCATCGACTGCCTCTACAATCAGCTGTTTGATATGTAAACAAAGCTGCTGGTAATACAACATACACACCTCAAAGTAAGTTAATATACAGTACTATACCTGTATTCTATTGGGTTTTTTTATTTATTATTGTACAGTATACAGTTGTACCCCACTTAACGCAGTCAATTGAACCCAGAGGGTCCCGCGTTAAGTGAAATCCGCGTTAAGTGAACAACAGAACATATGGGATTAATTCCAATAGAAACCGGCCCGACCCCCAAACTCCACTTTTTGAAGGCACATACCTATGTTGTAGTAAAAATAACATCTTAATTTTATGATGGTACATGCACACAATTAATACTTAAGAGAAATAGAGAAATACAGTCGCCAAGTTAATGTCCATTCAAATAATGGACTCAACTCCCTCCCCCTCTCACACTACACAGCCGGCTAACAGATGGTCGGTCGGTCCCTCCCTCCCCCCCCCACCCCCCACCAACCGTCCCAAGGAGATGTGTGGGATAACCTCAAACTAAAGTTAGGAAAATATAATTGACATTGCTGGATTCCTTGTAAGACCAGGAATATTTTGAATATAAATGTCATATATTTTGGACAAAAGATAACATAGTTACCTAGAGAAAAATTTTTATCTAAAAATTGTAAGTTTAAAGCAAAATATATGATGTTTATATTCAAAATGATCACCAAATTATAAGAATTCCAGCAATGTAAATTATATTCTGACCGGGTAATTTGTATGAATTTTATGAGCTAAAACAAATATCTTCAGTTAATAAAAAAAAATAATCTTCACGACACTATCTGTCAATCAAAGTACCCCACCTTGCCTCCCCCCCTCTTCCAACCGCGCGGTCAGTCCCAACCCTCCCCCCCACCCCCCACCAATCCTCCCTTCCAGAGTTTTTAACATTTAGTATTAAATAATACCTCAGATTAAAGTTAGGATAATATAATTGACATTGCTGGATTCCTTGTAAGACCAGGAATATTTTGAATATAAATGTCATATATTTTGCACAAAAGATACCATAGTTACCTAGAGAAAAATTTTTATCTAAAAATTGTAAGTTTAAAGCAAAATATATGATGTTTATATTCAAAATGATCACCAAATTATAAGAATTCCAGCAATGTAAATTATATTCTGACCGGGTAATTTGTATGAATTTTATGAGCTAAAACAAATATCTTCAGTTAATAAAAAAAAATAATAATTCTTCACAGGGTAACAGATGGTCGGTCGGTCCCTCCCTCCCCCCCACCCCCCACCAACCGTCCCAAGGAGATGTGTGGGATAACCACTAAATTTTAATAAATAATACCTCAAACTAAAGTTAGGATAATATAATTGACATTGCTGGATTCCTTGTAAGACCAGGAATATTTTGAATATAAATGTCATATATTTTGCACAAAAGATACCATAGTTACCTAGAGAAAAATTTTTATCTAAAAATTGTAAGTTTAAAGCAAAATATATGATGTTTATATTCAAAATGATCACCAAATTATAAGAATTCCAGCAATGTAAATTATATTCTGGCCTGGTAATTTGTATGAATTTTATGAGCTAAAACAGGCAGTCAGGCAGGGTGGTGGGTGGGGCAAATCTAAAAATAGCGTCTCGGACACTCACCGCATATATGTGGAAAAAATCCGCGTTAAGTGAAAGTTCAGCTTTGGCAAGGCACCGCGTATATGCGAAAACGCGTTAAGTGAAACCGCGTTAGGCGGGGTAAAACTGTACTGTACAGTACAGTACCATATTTAGTTCATATTTAATGTTTTGTTAATTCTATTACTGGTATACAGTACTTTGTATGTACTTTTCCTGTGAGTTGGAACCAATTACCCAATATCCCATTGAAATAATACATTCGTTAACGAAATTTTCGGTTAACAAATGACTCTGTGGAACCAATTGTGTTCGTTAACCGCGGGAACACTGTATATATGTATATGCAGCCACTCTTCGACTTACGACAAGGTTAGGGACCCAAATCCAGGTCGTAAGTCGAAAATGCTTAAATAATACAGTACATAGAAAATCTAAAATGGGTGTCTCTTTTTCTTCTCAGCACCACAAAACTCTCACTTTTAAGCTTGCCAGCCATTTTAAAGGGAATTACAAACGAAAATTTTGTCAGTACACAGCGCAATCACTAATGACGGGACACGAAAATACGTAATTTGAATTTTTTGGGTACGACTGGGGTGGTCGTATGTCCGGGTGGTCGTATGTCCGGGTGGTCGTAAGTCGATGAGTGGCTATATGTATGTATGTATGTATGTACGTATGTACATATGTATGTATATGTATATATATGTGTATATATATATATATATATATATATATATATATATATATATATATATATATATATATATATATATATATATATATATATATATATATATATATATATATATATATACAGTCAACCCTCACTTTACGCGGTCCCACATTCCGCGTTTCCACGTTTACGCGGTGCCCTGCCGGAACCCAGGATGCTCACATTCCGCGGTGCGTGTACCCCTTTACGCGGAGAGTGTCCGGCTCGACGCTATTTTTAGATTCGCCCCACCCGCCTGGTCCCGCCTCCGCCTGGCCAAGCCGCGCGGTAAGGTTGCGCAGTGCATGTCTCGGTTGCATTATCACTGACGTCATATGACGTATCGGACTGTGATTGGCCATGCATCCCTACCTCCCTCCGCTACTAGCTGTAATTGGTTTAAAGTAATATGACGTGTCCACCCGGGGGAGGGAGGGAGGGAGAGAGGGGGAGGGAGGAAAGACGACGCTTGACCTAGGCGCGGCAGTTTCATCCCTCCAGGCCACACCGTGTAATCGTGCATCCATTGTTCTGTAAAATGGCTTCCGCCGGACCACCACCCCCAGAGAGAAACCTTTCCTTGCCTGGACCCAGCCGCCCTAAGCCCAAGAAGACACGACATTCCTTAAGCTACGAGGTGAAGTACAAGATCATCCAAGAGTTAGAGAAAGGAACAAGACAGGTTGATTTGGCGCGCCAGCATGGTGTGAACGAATCTACGATCCGGACGATAAAGAAGGATGCAGCCAAGATAAAGGAGCACATGAAGATCACAGTCTACAGGTGCTTCTATGATCAAGTATTTTCAAAACCAGGTGCTTCTCAAGACAGAAAAATTACTTGTGAGCTACTTGGTGCGTCAGACGCGACGGAACATGGCGGTCGACACGCGCTCTGTTAAGGAGTACGCACGTGAACTGTATGCTGCAGTGTCACGAAAGATGGGAATTACAGAGCCCAAACCCTTTAATGCTTCCTCTGGGTGGTTACAGAGGTTTAAGATGAGGAACAAGATCACCAATATAAACATTGGTGGTGAAGAAGCCAGTGCTGACCGTGCTGCGGCTAGGGAATTTCCTCCGTTTTTACGTGAGATTATGGAGGAAGGACAGTACACCGACGACCAGGTGTTTAACATGGAAGAATCTGGTCTTTTTTGGAAAAAGCTACCTTCCAAGACCTTCGTTGTGAAGAATGCCAGCAAGATTCGGGGCCGGAAGATGCAGAAGGAGCGCATCACCGTCCTGTTTACCACCAATGCATCCGGTACCTGTAAGCTCAAGTTATCGGTGATCCACACAACACGCAAGCCGCACGCCTACAAGAACATGGACATGACCAAGCTAAATGTCCACTGGCTGACCGCACATAAGGCGTGGATGTTCTCTACTCTGTCCCTCTCCTGGTTTGATGACTGTTTCGTTCCTGACGTTAAGAAATTCTGTGAGCAATACAATGTTCCATTCAAGATTTTGTTGCTGCTTGACAACGCACCAGGACACTCGCCCCTACTGTTAGATCGTCACCCCAACGTAAAAGTGGTCTTCCTTCCTCCCAACACTACGTCTACATTACAGCCCATAGACTAAGAGTTAATCTGTAATGTAAAAGCTGCATTCTCAACAAAAAAATTCCAGCTCCTGAACGACTACACCAACACCAGGGAAGAGTTGCGTAACCTGAGTGACACCACCACCGATAGCAAGGGCGAAGAAGACGAGGATGAACAGTTGGCAGAGCAAAAAATACTTTTCAAACAATTCTGGAGAATATTTAACATCAAGAAAGCTGTGGACTTCTTGGTGGAGGCATGGGATCAGCTGTCTGTAGCAACTGTTCGTCACGCATGGAGACATGTGTTGCAAGGCATTCCGGGCGTAAGGCAGAGTCAATCTGTGACTGGTGAGGTTCAGACTGTTGCAGTAGCAGAGGACCTTGCCAGAGAAGCTGCGCAGAGTGTTACAGCTGCAGGCTTCTCCGAGACCACCAACGACGGCATCCTGGAGGTGATAAGGGATCCTGATGTGACTACCGACGAGATGGTAGATGATGATGACATCAGTGAAGAGGCAGGTGGTGCGTCATCCCAAGAAGAACACCGCTTATTCCATAGTAATGTTAGGGGTGCCATCGAGTGTGTCGAGAA